TAAATGAGTAAATGTAAATATGGAAGCATAATTGATTATTGGGTTATTTTGTCGCGTCGCGCCGCTCGAGTCTGGAGTAGAATTATCCTTTCCCAATGAAGCAAAGTTTTCCCCGAGTAGCCTACTTATATTTCATCATACTTTATCATATTTTAGTACTTTAATTTATTACAGCTATGTTCTTAACTTGAACTGGTCTAAGGCAGGCTGTCACATCACTGACAGAGAGAGGGGAGGACAGTTACTCAACCTCTCTAGAATCTATCCAGGTGATATTTGTTGAAAGAAGAGACTTATTTTATGGAAGGGTTTTTAGTTTTTTTTTACTTGGACTACTTGCCAATGTTTTAAGGAATTAAACATTAATATATATATATATATATATATATATATATATATATATGCGTATATGTGTTAAATAAAATTTGTTGTATAGGTAAAGGCAGTGTGTTCAAATAGTTTTTAAAGATGCTTTTTGTCCAACTGTTAAGAATTGGGATAACGGTTATCGTTTGCGTGTAGTGTAACTGAAATATTGTGTATAAAATATCTTTATTTCATAAAAATAAAGTATAGATGTCCACAGTGGTCTCAGAGTCCCAAGTAGTTATTTTTAAATTGGGGTTAGAGTTAGTGTTTTTGAGTCTGATATCTTGCTTCCTGTAAGCTATCATGGCATGTTCCAAAAATTGCTATATATATATGTTATTATAAAAAAAAAACTTTTCCATTTTATGTTAATAATGTTTTTATTATAAAATTAGTTGTACCTATAAGTAAAGGCAGTGTGTTCCAATAGTTTTTAAATACACTGTTTTGTCCAACTGTTAAGAATTAGGATAAACGTTATTGTTTAAGTGTAGTGTAACTGAAATATTGTGCATAAAATATCTTTATTTCATAAAAAATAATGTATAGATGTCCACAGTGGTCTCAAAGTCCCAAGTCCTGCAGTTATTTTTAAATTAGGGTTAGAGTTAGTGTTTTTGAGTCTGATATCACAAAAAAATAGGTCCCTGTAAGTTGTATTGCTTCTTTTAAGCTATCATGGCAGCATGTTCCCAAAATCACAATTAGGGTGCTCTAAAACACAGCAATTGGTATTCTATATAGAATTTATTATATGAACATGAATGTACTTACTTTGTACGTTATGTAGACCCCCCCATTTTTTTGTGGTAGAACACTGAAAACAGTCCAGATGTAAATCTAAAATCATTTAGTACAGTAGTGTAACATATACTGCAGTATATTCTGAAGAGTAGAGAGCTGTCATTCTTGATTTATAAAGAACTTTTACATGAGAAAACATTGATAAAACTTGGTAAGGAGAATTTGACTCTTAATTAGAAATTTGATGCCAAATTTTTTCACCTATAGCTGCTACTTGACACACTGTTACAATATATGGTTATTATATAGAGTGACTTGACATCCTACTGACTTTGTCTTCATAATAGCAATCTCATCTTTTATATTATTGTCACAACCCTTGTTATATTTAATAGACAGATAGATACATACAGTAGCATACCCACTTGTAATGTGGTGTTTTGTTTCATGTTCATGTTTTCCATGTCTTTTATTTTGTAATTGTTTCATGGTCCATGTTAGTGTCATGCTTCCCTTGCCTCATGTCTCTCTGCCTTGTGTATGTGTCATGTTCTGATTGGTAGTCTTAGTCATGTGTCTTGTTCCCCATTGGTTTGTTCATGTCATGTGACCCTCCTTGTCTGCTATAAGTAGCCTTCATGTTCCCATTGTGCCTTTGTCGTGTATTGAATGTATTTAACCCGCTGTCAGTGAGTCTAGTCTGTTTATCCCTCGTCAAGTCTGTTCATGTCAAGTCAAGTTTGGATTATTGTTTGGATGTTTGGATCACCTTGTAAATAAACTGCACTTGGGTTCTCACTACGCTCGCCTCCAGTGGATTGATCGTTACAGAATACACGACTCCTAAAATGAACCCAGCAGTTTCACGCCTCCTCTACCTTCGTCAAGGTGACCAGCCTATTGAGGACTATGTGGAGGATTTTTGTGAACTGTCTAACCAAGTGGATTTTAACGATGTGGCCCTTAAGGACATCTTTCGGGTGGGTCTGAATGGGCCCATTTGCTCCCAGCTTCCTGGGGGAAAGTTTCACTGGTCCCTTGCCGAGTATATAGACTTTGCTCTGAGGTTGAGTGGATCAGCTTTTACTGTGGGTGTCATGGAGGAGCATGCCACTTCCCCAAAGTCTGCTCACGTCATGCATGCCAAGCCACAGCCTGCTCACATCATGCCTGCTACTCCAGGACCTGCTCAGACCATGCCAGTTAAGTCTAAGTTTACTCGTGTCATATCTAACAAGTCAGAACCTGTTCACTTCATGTCTGCCAAGCCAGAGTCTGCTAATGTCATGTCTGCTACCCCAGGGCCTGCTCACGTCACGTCTG